TTTGTTTGTTTGTTTGTTTGTTTTATTAGTTTTGTATGCCGCCCACTCCCGAAGGACTCTGGGCGGCTTACAATAAAACAGGGAAAGGGAATGAGCCTTAGCTTTCCTTACTTCATCTTTACAGGCTTGGGCTATTTGCTGATATTCTGCCTTAGTTATGTCCCCCCTCTTTCCACTTTTTGTACTTTTGTACTTTTTTATCTTTCAATTTGTCAGAGAGTTCTTTATGCAGCCATGCTGGTTTCTTTTGTGAGCTGTTATTTATCTTCTTCATTGGTATTGTTGCCTTTTGAAAAAGCACCTTTGGGACAACCATGACCTGGATGATTGAGAGTCTCCATAGACATTTAGACCAAGAGTTAAATTCTTATGGGTCTGTAGCTTCATAAATGGATAGACTGACCATGGGCTATTTCATACCTTATTAAAAATGGGACAGGAACTTTGATTGTGTTTTCTAAAATAGATTCTTTGGAGATGAGGCAAAATTTGTGGATGGATCCCCATGACATTACATGTGTTGGAAGTATCTATGATCGGAACCAGGAACTGGGGAGCAGTGGCTTGATTTGGGCAAGAATGAGAAGAAAATTCAAATGTTAATAATTGTATATATCATTTTTCAAATGCTGTCAAAATCAGGTTTTCTTTCATTCTTAATATATTTACAATGGCAGAGCTCTACTACCTGTCAAGTGGTTTATTATTAGAAAAATGGAATATGTATTTTCTGCATTAATTCAGCATTCTAGAAATAATTAACTGGGTACGTTGGGATGGGGAGCCATTTCTAGCCTTAATTAATTGTCATTCCTGATAGAAAATGAGAAATTCGCTGTTTTGCTGCACATAAAATATAGGAAGAGCCAGCTGTGCTGTTAGAACAAATATTTGCATGCTGTTAATTCTTCTGGTGGTCAGATAAGCTAGAACAAAGCCAAAATGGGACAAGATGTTAGGCTGTGTTTTCCACAGCCTGTCTTTTTGCCTGGTGTCTCTAGGTTTGAAAAAAAAAAAACACGTTACGCGGTCCTTTTTCACACAGTAGCTGCTTTCAGACAGGGATTGGTGCTTGTGTTGCTGTCCTGGGAAAGGCTCTGCTGATTGGATAAATAGAAAAGCAGTCTCAGCGAATGAACAGGCAGTTAATGCTGAAGACCTGCCGTGCGTACCACTCCCTCCATAGCAGTGACAATCTCTCTCAAACCAAAACAATGAATGAGGGAGGTAAATACTGACTATAGACCCTCTTTCTTTCATATAATGCATATTTCGTTGGGATAAGTGGTGAGATTCTCAGGGTTTTAAAGCTGAACTCTGTGCTATAAATAGCTCCTGTTTTGCAATTTTTAGACCTTCCTGCTGTGGATTTCTGAAAATGCTCAGACCAGAAAAAACTGCTTGGCGTTTGGGATTCTTACATACCTTTGCTTTCTGTCTGTTTCTGAGTGACTGTTTTGCACAGATCCGTTATTCTGTCCCTGAGGAACTTACTCGGGGAGCCTTTGTAGGAAATCTTGCTAAGGATTTAGGAATGGATGTAACAAAGCTTGCAGCTGCCAATCTGCAGGTGCTTTCCGATTCCGACTTCCAGTATTTCTCTGTGAATGTGAACACTGGAATCATAATAATCAATGACAGAATAGACAGAGAGCAGCTTTGTGGCCAGAACCTGCGATGTTTCTTGCATCTTAAACTTGCTATTGAAAACCCGGTGGAGTTCTATCGCATCGAAGTGGAGATTCTGGATATCAACGACAATGCTCCTGAATTCTCAAGTAGCACAATTGTTCTGCAGATCTATGAATTGGCTGCCCTGGGTGCCCGTTTCCCTATTCCACATGCACAGGATCCAGATATAGGAACAAATACTTTGCAAACTTATCACCTCAGCATCAATGAGAACTTCAGCCTTAATGTGAAGGCACGCACCGATGGCACCAAATTCCCAGAACTAGTTCTGGAGAAAACATTGGACAGAGAGCGAGTGGCTATGCACAATTTGATCTTGACAGCTGAAGATGGGGGCACATTCCCCAGATCTAGCACTGTGCAAATTGCTGTCCATGTTTTGGATGCTAATGATAATCATCCAGTTTTTGACAAACCCACTTACAGTGTACGCTTGGTAGAAAACTCTCCTCCTGGGACACTGGTGATTAAACTGAATGCAACCGACTTTGATGAAGGGTCTAATGGACAGGTACGGTATTCCCTCAGCAGTCATAACTCTGAAGCTTTGTGCAGAATATTTGCTATTGATAATATCACAGGAGAAATCCGCGTTCAAGGGACTCTTGATTTTGAAGAGGCCAACATATATGAAATTGAAGTGGAAGCTAAGGACATGGGTTCCCCTACCATGGAACAGCATTGCAGTGTTATTGTAGAAGTGACAGATGTCAATGATAATGTCCCTGAAGTCATTCTCACATCTTTCTCCAGTTCCATGAGTGAAGATGCACCTCCTGGCACAGTAATTGCTGTGATACATGTCAAAGATAGAGACTCTGGGGATCAAGGGAAAGTCCAGTGTGATTTGTCAAAAAATCTTCCTTTTAAACTTCGGAAGGATTTTGAGCACCAGTATTCCTTGCTCATTGGTGAGCAACTGGATCGTGAGAATTCTTCTCAATACAATATCACTATCTGTGCCTTTGACTTAGGAAATCCATCTCTCTTGCAACAGACATCTTTCTCCATTACTCTGGCAGATGTTAATGATAATCCACCTCAGTTTGACAGGTCATTTTATGAGGTCATCATAGAAGAGAACAATCCAGTAGGAGTGATTCTCCTTAAGGTTTCTGCAACAGATGCAGATAAAGATCAGAATTCCCAGCTATCTTACATTGTTTTGTCCAGTCCAGGACAAGAACTGATTGAAGATCTCACTTCTTTCATCTCCATTAACCCAACAAATGGGGAAGTTTTTGCAGAGAGCTCTTTTGATTATGAGTGTACCAATCATTTTCAGTTTCAGGTGGAAGCTTGTGATGGTGGTTCTCCTTCTCTCTGCAACAGAGTTATGGTGCACATTTATCTACTAGATCAGAACGACAATGCACCAAAGGTTCAGTTTCCTTTTACTGGAAAAGATTCAGTTGTACAATTCAGGATCCCTCGATCTACTATGGCCAAAGCTTTAATCACAAAAATTATTGCTGTGGACTTGGATTCTGGGCAAAATGCTTGGCTCTCTTATCATCTAAAACAAGCCACAGATCTTAGTCTGTTTAGCATAAGTCTTCACAGTGGGGAAATGAGGACTCTGCGAATAATACAGGACCTAGACAATCCTACCCAGGAACTAGTCATAGTTGTCAAAGATTCAGGAGAACTTTCCATGTCTACCTCAGTTACTGTGATCATATTCCTGGAAGAGAGCACTTCTGAAGTGTATCTAGGGTTAAGTGCACACTCTGTGGAAAGTGAGAGACCGCCCACATTGACTTTATACCTTATTATCTGTTTGGCAGCAATTTCTACTATCATGTTGATTGCTTTGGTGGCCCTGGGAGCAAGATGTCTTCACTGTAATGCTCTTGCAACATCTACTATCTTTGGATGCTGTGGAGGTAAAGCTAGTGGACTTGAAAATGTCCCAGATCACATGACAGGACATTATCATTATCAGCTGAGCCCTGGAGATGCCATGATTGGAGTACAGGTAGCCACTTCAGGACCTCCAGTCAAAGGATACAGATCTTGCTTTTCTCCTGTATCAGATATCAGCGAGTTTGTGTTTATGAAACCTAATTTGACTCTTAGGGCAGCCTCTTGCAGCAATCTAACTGAAGCCAGCTTCTTTCATAAGGTGAGAATTTTCTACTTAAGCCCTGGGTTCAGTGCAAATCTTATGGTCTCTTGTGCACAAGAGATAAGGGTGGGGGAATGAATGAATAATCTATTGCATAGATACTGTTAACCTACACATGCCCACCCTGAAGCCTTCTGAATTGTCTGTCTAGCAGGCTGCATATAGGTTATTTACTCATTCATTCATTCATTCATTCATTCATTCATTCATTCATTCACTTCCTTAGGCATCTATGTTGTTCCAATTGCTTTGGGGGAGATTGGGAATTAAGACTGGGAGGCTGTCTTTCTTTTTTCTGAGATTATTTATATTCTAAGCAACTCTCTCTGCCTTTCTTGTATAGTTTTGATATCAGCTTTTTCAGCCAGGCAGTGTGTGCAAGCTCTTTTGGCAAACAGCACCCTTGGGACAGTTCTCTCTGCTGTGCTGGAAAAGAAGGGGGAGGAGGAGCATGGTGGCTCTGGAGATGGACAAAGTATTTGGGGGGGGGATGTATTTTGAGAAAGGGACTTCAGTGCTGTCACGGAGGAGGGGATTGCTAGTATCCATTTTAGAGCTCTTTTTCCTGTTTTCCATTTTGCCAAGGAGGAGCTGCTGCTGCTGCTGTTGCTGCTGCTGCTGCTGCTGCTGCTTGAAAATCTATTCCCCTTCTCCTCCTTTCCCTCTCAAGCTGCAGCATCCTTTTTGGGGGGCTGCACTGCCCCTCTCGGGTCATCCCAGAGTCACCAGGTGGGAGGGACGGAGTGTATCTAGAAGCAGGGGGGAAGCACACCCACCCACCTCCCCCAACCCCCGGCAAGAAGAAGCAGCAGCAGCAGCAGCAGCAGCAGCAGAGCCAGAAGCTGCAATCCTTTTGACTGAAGCAAGCCAGGCATGGATAGCAGACAGAATTTGCAATGGCAGCTGCTGTTATTTTTAGCTTCAGTGTTTTCCCTGCCAGATCTCATCTCCATGCAGATTCACT